AGTGGCAGCTGGCCGGGGTTGGGGTTTGCGGTTAGGTTGCGGGGTTAGCAGGTGGGGTTAGGGGTCAGCGGCTAGGAGGTGGGGTTAGGGTTAGGATTAGGGTTAGGATTAGGGTTTGGGTTAGGATTAGCGTTTGGATTGGAAGTATACATGATGCGCGACTGACAGTCGCCATTTACTCGCATACTTTACCGACTATATAGTCATGTGGATATGGTCGTACCGGCTGGCAAATTATGTGGAATGTTACTTTGAACTCGTCATATACTTCATCTTATATAATTAATGTGGATCAAAACAAAAAACGTAAACAATGCCCGCGCATGCGCAGAAGGGACTGTAACCTACCTTTAAGGGCATATATTCGGAAACTTTGCATTAAAGACGTAATTGTACAGCTTATATTATAGAACTGTCATATAGTGAACAAAGTGACTATATGACCGGCAGCCGGTCACGGTTTATCAAATACTAAATGGCCGGCAGTCTAGTGACTATAGTTGAATATAAAAACTTTTGTTTGCATTCACTTCTACCGAGCTTGCCGTTAGCTCATACGGCAAGGGCGCTGTGTGCGGAAAGTTAAACGCAGTCGGGGTCGGGATGTGTTTTGTCTGACTTAGCATTGTTTTTTCTTAAAATTTTTTAAACTTTTTTTTCCGACTTTTCTAACTCTCAAAAGGTTAGGGTTAGGGGTTAGGGTTAGAAAAGGGTTTGGGGTTGGGGATAGGTTTATCTTATAAAAATTCAACTTTAAGTATAGTCACTAGACTGCCGGCCATTTAGTATTTGATAAACCGTGACCGGCTGCCGGTCATATACTCACAGTTCGTATAGTGAATGGATTCAGAACTTCACATTTTGTGTAGAGTTTCCACGATGATAATGACTGAACTCGACTCGTGCACATTTTCCCATGCACAGTCAAGAATTCAATCATGCAAACCACCAAAATCAGGTGTTTCACGAGTGGTCCACGAGAATGGTCCGTGAGAGTGGTCCACAAGTGTAGTCCAAGGACCAGGTCCACTAAGGTAGTCCACGGACCTGGGGTCTGCGTTTTGTCGTTTCCCGTGATTGCCAGTATTAGAATGTGGAGTGTCTGCTAGAATTGCCCTGCGAAAGCAGATGATGCCCTGCCGCAAAATTTTTTCCGGACATTTAAAAAAGGGGCGGAAAAATTTTTCCGGACATAAACCAATTAAATTAAGGGTCAAAAATTTTTTCCGACAAATTCCTGTTAAAACATGCATGAAACCCTTATTTTTTACCAATATCTGTAAAATTTAGGTCTATAAACTCTATTCAACTCCCTCTGGAAGCCCTGCAAGCTACTTAATAACTCTACATTCCATCATTTAAAATCTTTCATTGCCCTGCCAATCCAGATGATTTGCCCTACCAATCCAGATGATTTGTACTTGGGGGGGGGGGTCCCCCCCCCCCTCAAGTTTCATCCCTGGAAGTGAGCTGTGATGTTTCCTGACAAAACAAGAAACGTCTACTATTATTTAACCTGTAGTTTTCCTTGTACAGTGTTTAAAATGTAGTGCAGATGTCTGATGAAATACTACGCGTAATTGCATTGTAGTAATATTTTAATTTACAATATTCTGTACTGACAAATAAAAGCAAGACAAACAATTAAATGAAACTACTAATAAAATTAATTTAGGCCCTGTTTACTTAATAGCTCTACGCCTAGACCGATGTAGTCTCTACAAGATTCGCACGCCACCGAGTTTTACAGTTTCAGAATACCCCGAATACTTGAAAATTGCGACTATACGATAAAATAAAACAAAGATTGTGAAGGGATAAAATTTGTAGGCAAGCATTGCTTCTGGACGGCAAGTGTTGGTGTCCCGCGAAACAAGCGAATTCCTGTACAGCGTAAACAGGTTACGCGAGGTTTTATATTTGTGTTTATTTATATTGAACTAAGTCATATCTATAAGAGCATATTTAAACTAAATGTTAATTATAGCAATAGCCATATTGTTCAAGACGAGAGAAAGGAAATTTCGTGTGAATCACCACAAGTTTGCATGGAGACGCCTAGATGCAGCTTGGATGTAGCTTTGCCTGTAGTTGAAAATCTCCAGAAATATCGGTATATCTTAGAAAACATAGACGGGATCTTCAGAGATTTCAGCTGATTCGTGCCAAACTTTCAGCTGATTCGTGCCTAACAAAAGATACGTATTTGAATTGTTTATATCAAGCACTTCCCAGGGTGCTAAAACTTTTCTCTAAAAGAATCTCAGGGGCAGGGGTGGAAAAATAGACGAGCACCGCTCGCAGGAAACATTGAACAGCTCGCAGGAACTGTTAAACAGCTGTAGGAAATGTGAAGGAAACTCTAACATGGAAGGGCCACTATGGGAGAAAAAACTCATGGTTGTCAGGCATTTTTAGTTTTGTTGAAAACAATGGTCAGCTAGTTATGGGGTTCTATATGCACAGTTTGAGCACAAACATACTCAGTTGGTGTACAGGAAATCTTAAGATCCAGGTTGTGCTCCCAGCCCAGGAGGAAAATTATTTTTCCAGCCCTGCTCAGGGGCAACTTTTATATTACATCATTATTCAGCTCACTCCCCCCATTGAGGCTTTTCAGTGACTGATTACATCAAGTATTACGCTCATGTTACTTACTTAGCCTAAAGACTATTTATATCTTTACAACAATTAGCCTTTCTCACGATGACGAATATCCGCCATTTTTGGGTGGCATCCAATTCTCGTTAAGGTTACAGAACACCTTTGAGTGTTAATTTTGCCTAATTTTGGTCGTTTTCACGAAAGCATTAGACTAGTTCTACTATCTGGCCAAGTTTGAACGAAAAATATTGAAAACTCGCAGAGTTATGTAATAAAATACATTTCGCTGTACTAAGAAAAACATTGAAAATGTAATATTCGAATTCAATTTTCTCCGGAACAATTTTACGGCAATTACCGATTTTCAAACGAGTTGTTCTCCTGCGGGTTTTAACCAATTTTTCTCAAATTTTCACAGGACATAGCTAAAGACGTCAGTTTCAAAATTGTGTTCGGCTTTTTTCTAATTTTGCATATTTTAATAATAAGGATTAAGGAGTAATTCACACAAACGATTCAGAAATATATTGCAGTCGTCTTAGAAATCGCTATATCAGCGGAATGACGAAATAAACAATTTCCGAACACAATTTTTTAGAACAATTATCTTACTGTATAAAAATGATATTTTCATAAATATATCTTAAAACCAGCAGGAACACAACTCAAAAGCGTGAAGGTACCGTGATTTAAGATTTTGCTGAATAAATCTTACATTATTTTATTGTTTGTCCATTTTACAACTTTGCCATATTTTGCATGCACTGGAGAACATTTGGTGAAGATTTGATGAAAATCGGACTGACTTTGAGCGCGCAGTAGCGATTTTCCGCAAAACGCCAAAAAGGATGTCCTGTAACATTAACCAATGCAGACAATTAAAACAATATGAAAAGCAATTTTTCAAAATAAACTAACCATTTACAAAGCAAATTTACCATCATTCGTCCAAAAAATATAAAAACTCGCTGTTATGTGGACTTACCTCGCAGACCTCGGCTGAAATGCCACCCAAAAATGGCGGCGTGAGAAAGGCTAATTGCTCTGACCGCCACATCTACTGCATGAGATGCAGTATATGAGATGGGAGCTGGAGGTTTAATTAACATGGTATTGTAATTTTGGTGAGTGAATTAAGTGAAATGATTGCACTCCTCTTAACCAATCAGATTGCAGTAATTTTGTCATGTATATAATAAGGTCAATTATAATCAAAACAGGAAAATAGAATTTTCTTCCTGGGAGCACAACCTGGATACAAAAATTTCCTGCAAACCAATTGAGTATTTTTGTGCTAAATCTGCATGTGCACAAACTAATATAGTGTTCTAGCTGACCACGGTTTTGAATTCAAGGAATACTGTCTGTCAACAATATGTCATTGCGCCCATAGAGGGACATGGGTGTTAAGGTTTCCTTCAAATTTTCAGTAGCAAATCTTCATTCAAACGAATTTCCTGCAGCTGTTTAACATTTCCTGCAAGCAGTGCTCGCTTGCTCGCCTATTTTTTCCACCCCTGACTATAATACCAAGGTGGCGGACTGCACACTGTTTTTGGTCAAAATATTTCGAAAACCAAGCAAGGTACGAAAAAGGTGTCTTCATACAGGGACGCCGGAACGAGGCAATAGGGGAATAAGGCAAAGGGGGGCGGACGCACACCAAGGGCACCTCTATAGAGCAAAAGTTCAAAATCTACCGGAAAATTTTCTTTCAATGGAAATTTTTGGGCGACTCCCCCCCCCGTCGCCAAATAATTTTTGGTCAGTGTACCATTTTAGGGGTCCAAAATTTTTTCCGGACATACCAAAATTTTCTGTGAAGTCAAAATTTTTTCCGCATATCTTAACTTTTAATTTAATTTAATCAAGTTTTACTGCATACAAAAATAATAACTGACTAAACTACATGCAGAAGGAAGAAATAGAAAGGAACAATAGAACCATGCTAAGCTATTCCACCAAAAATAAAGTAGCGATCAAAATGATCGAAAAAAGTAAATAACTGTACAAAACACTCCCCCCCCCCCTATAATGTTACAAATGTGTGATAGTTCATGGATCCCAAGTAACGCGAGGTCGGTCAGGATCATACGGTATAGTTTTGTAATACTCTCTACAAGAACGCTTAAATATGGCCACACTACCATTGAAAGTTCGAATTTGTTCAGGGAGATTATTCCATAAATACGTTATTCTATTAAAATAAGTTGCCCTAAAATGTTCTGTTCTGCATTTAGGGGTTTTCAATTTCCCCTGGGCAGTTGATCGTAATCTTGTGTCTGAGCAGAATTCAACGTAGGAGTCAACATTACAGTTATATAAACCTTGTTTCATCCTGTAAAAGGTGGTTAAATCCTTCAACTCTCGACGGTGTAAAAGAGGAGGAACATCAAACTGTTGGAGACGTTCCACATATTCCAATTCAGGCAACAAGATCCGTGTTGCTCGGCGTTGAACCCTTTCGATTTTCTTAATTAATGTGATTGATTTTGGGCTCCAAACCTCAGAAGCATACTCTAAGTTACTCCTTACCAGTGCGCAGTACAGTGATTTCATTGTAGGTAATAAGCACTTTTCCCTCGAAACTGTACGTCTAATAAAGCCCAGCATCTTGTTCGCTTTATTTATCTGAATATATATATGTTCATTAAATGTAGCATTACTAGTTATATGGACTCCAAGATCTCTCTGTTCGTTTACTCTCTTGATAACGCAATTAGCTATTTCATAAATAAAAGAAACAGGGTTGCGTTTCGTTGTTACTGTAGAGATGGTACACTTGTCAATGTTAAATGGTAATTTCCATTCTGCACTCCAAGTAGTTAAATTATTCAAGTCCCTTTGTAAAGCCACGCAATCGGCGTCTGAATTGATTGTACGTAGACACTTCGCATCATCAGCAAACAATGCGAGCGTTCCTGATTCTGAAATAACATCAGGCATGTCATTAATGAACAGAACAAAAAGAGCTGGTCCCAAAATAGAGCCTTGTGGAACCCCACTGGTGACATCAAGCCATTCGGAACATTTGCCGTCAAGTACTACTCGCTGCTTCCTGTCATGTAGGTAACTTCCAAACCATTTAAGCAAAGAGCCTCTGATGCCCGCCGCGTATAGCTTATCCATCATTGACAAATGAGACACAGAGTCAAAAGCCTTTGAAAAATCAAGGAATGCAATATCCGTTTGTCCCTTTTCATCAATTGATTTTGTTAAAAGGTGAACAATTTCAAGTAGTTGGGTAACCGTAGAGCGGCCTTTCATAAATCCGTGTTGAAGATGGTATACACGACTGGCTACGAATGGGAAAAACTTATCAAATACACAACGTTCCACTACTTTTTCCACTACACTTAGCAAAGAGATAGGTCTATAATTTGTCACGTTTTCAACATCACCCTTTTTGAAAACTGGCACAACATTTGCCCATTTCCATTCCTTTGGTAACATTCCTATTCGAAGGGAAAGATTTATTATTTGTGTAAGTGAAGGGGCAATCTCATTTGCACATTCTTTTAAAATCCGTCCAGGAATTTGATCAGGTCCACTAGCTTTTGAAGGATTAATGGCCTTCAAAACAGACAAGATATCTTCAACAGTAACATGTAAATTATGCAATTCGTCAACTCGAGGATGAAACACATCATGATTTATCTCTGCTCCATGGTCAGATTTTTGAAAAACGGACGCAAAAAATTTGTTGAACATGTCCGCTTTAGCAGAAGGCGTTGAGGCTTTCTCCCCACTGAGATGAACAATTTTTGGTATCCTGGCTGTTTTTGTTGTGGCTCTGTAAAATGACCAAAACTTACTAGGATTATCCTTTAACTCATCCTGCATAGTTGCGAGATGTTCACGATATTTCTTTTTAGTCAACGTTTTTAGCTGTTTACGAATAGTTCTGTAATTTTCCCAATCACTTGTTAAGTTAGATTTTTTAGCTTTTTTCCACATTCTGTTCTTACACTTAGAGAGATTGATAACATCTCCATCTATCCATTTTGGTGCCTTTGCATCTCTAACCTTACATTTTGGGATAAACATTTCAGCGGTAGTAAGAAATACATCTTTCCATTTTTCCCAACATTGGTCGATATCATCACAGTCGAGTAGCATTTCAAATGGTGTGTGCGCAAGAGTTTCTCTCAACCCATCGAAATCAGCCTTTTTAAAATTATACACAGAACGTGAAAATTTTGTTCGCTTCACAGTTGTCTTAAGGAAAAATGAAATTCCAAGATGATCGGTATTCAGTTGACAATCGAATGTTGAAAGACCGTAAAGCTGATCCGGCAGATTTGTAAAAACTAAATCCAAAATGTTGCTTGTTGAGTCAGAAACCCTTGTCGGAGAATAATTCATCTGACTCAAAAAAGCATCGTTTATCATGTCGCAGAAAATATTGGGTAAGTTGTCACACCCAGGTGCTACTTGCAGTTCCCAATCAATTTCAGGAAAATTAAAATCGCCACATAATATAACAGGAGTACCGTCTCTCACAATATTCTCGAGGGAATTACCAAAATTCATTAAATATTCATTTTTGCTCGAGGGAGGTCTATAGAAACCGCATATAATTAGCTTCATACCTTTGGAAATATGTATTTCACACACCACAATTTCACAATTCGATTCTAGCTCTTTGCGTCGTTTAGATTCAATCTCATTTTTTATTGCAATTAATACCCCTCCGCCTCTTTTGCCATCTTGTCTGTCACAGCGATATATATCATAGCCATTCGGTAATATTTCTTTATTTAGCACCGAGGGAGTCAGCCAGGACTCGCTCACAACAACAACATCACAATCGCTCGTGTACACCATTGACTGAAAGTCGCGAAGTTTGTTGTTTAGACTTCGAGCATTGATTGTTAAGACCAATAAAGTGTGCCGACCTTTACCCGAACGTCTGGGATTGGATACTGGTCCTGGATGTGGATGAATATCGCCACTTAATTCAAGAACCAATATACATGGGTTGAACGAAGCAGAACTGTGCGAGTAATACCTTATTCGTCGTCGAAGGAACTTTCTACCATAAATCTTTGCCGTAAATAAGCCCTTATAACCACTATGAACTCCGTCCATGTAAGGAGTATCATATAAAATCTCCCAGGTGTATACACAAAACATAAGAGGGAGAAAGTATAACATAAATACGGAGCACAAAAGTCTGCGTGTGTCCGCCATGGCTGGTACATAAGGGGAATAGCCATTTCTTCAAAATATTTTTCTAAATTCCAAAAATTTTTCAAAATTTTTATAAATATAAACTATAAATTACCTGAATCTCATCATTTTCCTACAAAAAACATCGTTGGAAATGTGATTTATCACGTAATATTTTACAACTAAAAGGGCACTTCTGCCCCCCCCCCTGCCCACCCTAGCAAAAGCAAGAGTTCTTTCAAATGAGACAAAGTTAGTTTTTATTACCATATCCCTTTAACGAAGATTGCAAGCCAAGGAAGTACATTTCTAGCTATTTCCCACAATGTTCAATAATCTCGTTCCAAAATGTAACGAGTGAAAATTCTTTCCGATGCAGGCGATGCTTATTGTAATGTCAAAGAACTATTACACAAATATGCAACGGTCAAGTCGAGAGTTACTTAAAAAAACGGAGGCACGCTTAAAACTGCGACCCTGTAAAATATTCATCTACCTGAAAATACAAAAGGAACTTCGACGTTTCGAGCAAAGGCAAGGAAGGGGGGCAGCCCCCCCCAAGGGGGGCAGCCCCCCCGCC